GATGAAATGCACAAGATAGAATGAGTGTAAAACGCCGATTTCATCATCATACTCGTAGTTTATTTAAGCAGAGATATAGGACATCGTCCCATGGTACAGCAAGTTACAGTGGTCACATTAATTGTGCATCCACGATGATTTTTTTTCTAAAGATTTTCCTCATTCTTAAATAATGCTTATGTTAATGATCCCCACAAAATCACTGATGGCTTTAGTGAGGGCAATTAGTGACTGAGGTATGAACTTGCTAAAGAATAACATGCACTTATTTTGTCGACCTGGCATCTGTGTCCTACATTAGATCGTCAACTGAATGAGCATTGGTTATTTTTAGCTTCATCTTATTTGATAAATAATGCAGATAATATGTCGCCTTGGCAGAAGATTACACTTGTAAGCCTTACAGTGTACGCATATATAAGATAGCTGCGCGATAAATCGCAAAGAGCAATGGCGAACGAAGTGTGGCTTATTTCACGATAAAATATAGTTCTATCATGACGTCATTTCTGGAGATTCGAATATGCTCTCGCAACTTGATGACTTCATGTATTGGACACGGATAGTGTCTAGTGTTGTTCCGCATAGACGTAGCTAGGGTACGTAGATGAATGCAGTGGAAGAGCGATCGCATCCAAAATTGGTAGAGATATGACAATTGGTATTAGGAGAGATGGTACAGATAATCGACTTGAGGATTGTGAGGATATGCGGGAACTTAACCCACCTTTTCGTAAAATTGACTTGTCCGAGGTCGGATTCTCTTCAGGGAGTCTACTTTTAAAGCTTGCACATTGTATCATCATCATTAAAAAGGCTGAACATAAAGTTGATATTTCATATAAGAAATAAACTGTCGTTGTTTATTGTACAATAAAACACTGCAGGGAGACAAAACCGCTCCGGGCTGTCATGGAGGGACTTGCAGGTATCAAGGAGGAGGATCCAGAACCGAAGGAGCAGCCAGGGTCTGATACAATGCCAGCCTTAGAGTCAGATAAAGGCGATCCTAGTCTCACTGGACTTAGTGATACTTTGAAGCAGATGGGTGTCGTACCTGTAGTAGAAAGCCCTGAACATTTTCAGGAATGGATGGTTTCCTATTTGCAGTCGGTTGGGAAGTTGCCAGGTGATATTCAGTCTGATTCTGAAGGTACATGGGGTAACAAAGGTAATGTGGTAACTCAGGCTTTTCAATCAGAGGCTAATCCATCAGAGAGTTAAGGTCCTCAGTTTACTCCTGTTACTCGGGCAGATGTCAGACTCCTAAGTTGTCATCTTTCTTTGGTGAAGCTGGTAAGGGTGATGCTTCTAACTATTTATGGCGCTATGAGATAGAGTGTCTGAGGTAGCATGTCATATTTGAGGCTGTTCGACGCTCACTGAAGGGCAAGGCTGGTAAAGTTGCTTCACTTATAGTTCCACAGTCTACCATTGATTCTGTATCAGCTAAACTTACAAGTGTTTAGCAGCTGTGAGGAAAGTGAATCCCTGGTGGCAAGATTTTATAGTGCCAAACAGATGGCAAAAGAAGATGTTTCTTCTTTGGGTTGCAGACTTGAAGATCTATATGCTAAGGTTAGACAGAGTAGCAAGTCATCACCTAGTGAGACAAACCAAGCCCTGGCAAGGTCTTAAACCAAGTTTGAAAGATGTATCTGACCACAAGTACGATGCCATTGAGGACTTTGATAAGTGGCTGACCTGATCGTGGGTCATTTTCTATTCATGGCAGATCTAATACTATGTCACCTTCGAACAATACCGGACGCGGTCAGTTCAGCGTTAGAGGTCAACCTACATATGGTCCTTCACACTTACCTTATCAGGGACCTGTTCCTCCAGATGGTAGGCAGGGTATTGTCTGTTGGAAATGTGGACAGATAGGTCATTTATGGCGTGGATGTAGGGTTATCATGGACCACAACTGGACTTTAAACATCCGCCCATGATTACCTGTCACCATGGGCCAATTCACAAGCAAACCAGAAACAACGCCCACCACAACTCCAGAAGGATTGATTTGGAAAGCAAATGAAGTCAGTGTTACAGTGAGAGGAAAAGTATGCACAGCTTTACTTGATACAGGTTCAACAGTATCTACTGTTAGTGAATCATTCTACAGGCATCAATTATCTCATCTTCCAATGCATCAACTTGACCGTATTTTGGAGTGTGCAGATGGTGGAACATTGCCAAACGTAGGTTATGTCGAGAGGGAGTTGTTTGGCCCAGGCCTTGCATCAATGGACACTTTGCCTTGTTTACTACTAGTTGTCGCAGACAGTAGATATAACTTGTCAGTGCCAATCTTGCTGGGTACCAATATCTTGTCATCCTTGAAAGCATCACTTCATACCAAATGGTATTTGACATTTAGGAGTGAGTGAGTGAGTGAGTGAGTGAGTATGGTTTTACGCCGCTTTTAGCAATATTACAGCAATATCATAGCGGGGGACACCAGAAATGGGCTTCACACATTGTACCCATTTCGGGAATCGAACCCGGGTCTTCGGCGTGACAAGCGAACGCTTTAACCACTAGGCTACCCGACCGCCCCTGACATTTAGTAATATGGTCATTCGTGAGAAGGAGCTAGCAAAGGATGATTGGAGGTTAGGACTTGTCAAGAATGCTGAAGACAGGAACATCGTTATTCCACCTAATTCACAAGTCTTTATCCAGGGTTATGTTGACAAGGAAATCAGTTACCCTCAAGCTCCTGGTACACTACAGTCATGTCAGAGTTCAACTATTCCATCAGACATATATGTTTCTCCAATCCAGGTACACTTGTCAAATGTTACCACTCGTACTGTTGTTGTTCCACCTAGAGCTGTACTCTGTGAAATTCAACCAGTATCTGTAGAAGAGTCCAAGCTGAGTCAGTCATCCAATACTGAGTCTATTTTGAGCCTTATTGATGTCAATGATAAAGGACTTACCCATGAAGAATTGGATAAAGCCGTTAAAGTTATCTCAAAGTACATTGATGTCTTTTCAAGTGGAGAATTAGATCTTGGTCATTCAATTGCAGTACAACATCGTATCGAGTTTATGGATAAAACTCCTTTTAAACAAAGGCATTGACATATTCCCCCAGCCATGATTCAAGAGGTGAAAGATCATCTTAGACAGTTACTAGTATGTGGAGTTATACGTAGATCACATTGTCCTGTGTAGGAAGACGAATGGAAAACTTAGAATGTGCGCGGACTTCAGACAACTAAACAATTCCACTATTAAGGACAGTTTTGCTTTACAAAGGATAAAGGAAATTTTAGATTGTCTAGCTGGCAGTATGTTTTACACTAAGTTGGGCATGAAGTCTGGATATTACCAAGTCGAACCTGCAGAAGAACATAAGGAGCGCATTGCTTTTACAGTTGGCCCTTTGGGTTTCCTTGAGTATAATAAGCTTCCGTTAGGACTTTGCAACAGTCTGGCGACCTCTCAACGTTCCATGGAAGATTGTCTTGGGGATTTGCATTTATCAATCTGTGTGATATATATTGATGATCTTATCATATTTGCTGATAGCTGTGAGGGACACTTAGAATGTCTCACCAAAGATTTTGATTGCCTGTGCCGATGCAACTTAAAACTGGCTCCAGATAAGTGCGATTTCTTCAAAGAGAAAGTTGCCTATGTTGTACCAAAACCTGCAAAAGTAGAAGCCATCAGAAATTGGCTACGGCCTACCAACCCTTTTGATGTAAGGAAGTTTTTAGGTTTCGCAGGATACTACAAACTACAGAGAGAATTTCTCAAAGATATCTAAACTTCCATCCCAATTAATGCCTAGCCTGAAAGACAAGAAAGGACAATCTTCAGTGGACTGGTTTTGGGGAGATCCTCAGGAAGCAGCACTCCAGGAGTTGAAGTATAGACTTTCATCGCCACCAGTACTAGGCTACTGTGATTACTCAATCCCATTTGAGCTCCATATCGATGCCAGTCAACGTGGCGTAGGTGCTTTCCTATACTACGATCAAGGAGGTAAACAGCTGCAGAGAGTCATTGCCTACGCCAGCCGAGGATTGTCAAAGTTTCTTGCATAGATATGGTCAATCACTGAGAAGTTCCATGATTACCTCTTTGGCAACCAATTCACTGTATATACAGATTAAAACCCACTGACATATATTCTGACTACCGCAAAGCTCGATGCAACTGGCCACAGATGGCTAGCTGCCTTGTCAGCTTACAATTTTGATGTCAAATAACAGCCTGGAAAATCGAATATTGATGCTGATGTGCTGTCGCGGATTCCAGGAGATCATGCAACAGAGCCTGCAGATAATCAGATTTCCTCAGAATCTGTTTAGGCTATTTGTCAGTCTGTTGCTACACCCAATTATGTTGAGTGCTTAAGCATGTCCTCAGAGTCGGTAGATGTTGGTGATACAGGTCATGACCTGAAGAGCATGTCTCCTAAGGATTGGAGGCATGAACCGTTTTATGATCTGACACTTGCAGACGCCATGAAATGGGTCAGAACGGGAGAAAAGCCAAGAAATGATAACATGCAATCAAGTGAATTTATAGCCCTTTACAGCTGTAAGATTGTACCAAATCATTGACTATTCTTTTCTTGGAGCAGTCAAAACAATCATTTATCATGCCCTGTCGGTACCAGATTTAGTGCTTACAATTTGTTTTCACAAAGCGAATACTCTATTCCTGAAAGTCGACATTGTCTAGGGCTGCAACGGTTTGGTTCGGTGCACCAAGAACCGGTACTTGTCGTCTCGATTCGATCTTCAATCTACAATGTCTAGATTTCGATTCGGTTCATTCCAATTTTTGTAATAAATTTAAAATTAACAAAAATAACCTACCTCGTTGACGAAAAAAATTAAAAGACTTGCGTTCATATCGACGAAGTGAAAATGTCCAAAAATGCATTTGTTTGAAACTTATTTGTTAGACGACTGTCACTTGAAAACGAAAATAGATTAGAGTGACCTCCCTTTGAAAGCATTGCAGACGACGTGCTGTCACCAGCCCCAAGTCATCATAAGTCTAAGGTTTGGGTTCATTTCGGGTTTAGGCAACAGTCGAAAGATGCTGCAACTTGTAAAGTTTATTACATGGACATTTCGTACATGGCCGGAAACATGACTTATCTTTCAAACCATTTGAAAAGAAAGCATGGACTCGATGTCAACGCGAAGACTAAGCAGTTCAAAAACGAAAGTAAGCCAGTTTCATCTGGTCAAATGAAACTCACAGAAGTTATGCCACAGGCAAAATTGACTACTTGTCATTCCACACTTATATCTCAGGCCATCGGAGGATACTTAGCGTATGACATGCGACCTTTTTCAACTGTTCAGAATGATGGATTCAAACACATGATACATGTTTTAGAGCCCAGATACAATTTACCATCTCGGACTTATTTCTCTAATACTGTACTGCCTAACATAATGAAAACTGTAGTGGCAAGAGTGAAACGTCAGTTGAAAGAAGCTGAAACTGTACCTATAATGACAGATGCATGGACTTCGAGGGCTACTGGAAATTATGTAGCAGTCACTGCTCATTTCATTGACAAAGATTGGCAAATACAAAACTATACATTACAAACAAAGAAATTCAGCGAATCTCACACAGCAGAAAACCTAGCTTCAAGACTCTCAGTGACCATTTCCGAGTGGGACCTTACTAGAAATGGGTGTGGTCCTGCTATCACTACAGACAATGCAAGCAACATTGTCAAAGCGGTCAAGGAAGCTGGTTTACATCCATACATTGGATGTTTTGCTCATACTGTTAACATTGCCACTCAACATGGTCTCAAAGTTAATCACATGGAGAGGCTTCTGACGTGGAGTTAACTTCTTTCACAAGAGTACATCGGCTACAAGCTCTCTTGCATTGAATCAGAAAAAAACTTGAACTCCCCAACCACAAACTGATTAATGATGTTCCTACAAGATGGAATTCCACTTACGATATGTTAGAGAGATACATTGAGCAACAGACCGCTGTGTTTGCTACTCTTATTGACATTAGAAGAAATGTCAAGGATATTGTTACACTGAGTGATGATGACATTCACAACATTGAAGACATTATCAAGGTATTAAAACCTCTGAAAACCGCCACAACATTGATGTGTAGCCAAAAACACCCAACTGTGTCTCTCATTCACCCACTGAAGGAGATGTTGCTGAAACAACTTGAAGTCTGTCCCAATGACAGTGGGCTGGTGTCTGATGTGAAACAAGCAATCAGCAATGATCTCAAGCCCAGGTATGTATAATGGCATTAATAAATTTGTCATTATTTCACAAGTCACTATTTTTTAAAATTGACATATTCTTATTCTTCAGATCATTTTATTTTTTAATATCAAATTTATAATGTTTATTATTTCCACTTTTCAGATATTCCAAGGATGATACGTTGAGTTTCCTCCTAAATTCTTCTGCCCTTGATCCCAGATTTAAGGCACTGTCTTACATTGATGCAGCAGCCAGACGGAACGTCTACCACTCCATCGGTCAGAATACTGTTGAGCTCCACACTATTTTACAGTCACAGGTATACTACTAATAAAAGTAAATTCATATTTGTAGATGAAAAATGAAAGCTAAAAGTCTGTATGAACGTACAGAGAGTGAGATCAGTATGTATAAAGAAGATGAGGTGCCCAGCCTAGAGTCTGACCCACTGAGTTGGTGGAGGTTGAGAGAGGGAAAGTTTCCCTTGTTGTCAAAATATGCCAAACAGTGCCTTGGCACACCTGCCACAAGTGTGGCTAGTGAGAGGGTCTTTTCAACAGCCGGGGATGTTGTGACTGCTCAGAGGGCTTCCCTCAGTAGTGACAATGTGGACATGCTTGTGTTTTTATCCAAAAACATGATCATCCCTGATGACCTGATTGACCTCACAGTCTGAGGTGATGAGTTTGTCCTGTTGGTGCAGTGTTGCACTGTTCAATGAAAAAGTTAAAGTTAATACACGTTTTGTTACTTATTTATGCATACTTTACATGAATCATTGTATATTATTAGACTAATGAATCGAATCGAAAATGATCGAATGGAATGGAAATAGTCGAGCATCGAACCGAATCGAAGTATTGGTGAACCGTTGCAGCCCTACTGCCTACTTTACTTAAAACTTTGATGAAAAGAAAACCTGGAATGCGTCCCGTTTGCCATGTTCGTAAACCTGGAATGCCAGTTATTTGGTTGTGGTGCAGCTTCGTGTCGCCTCTCCATTTTTTATTACAAATCAACATTTGAAAGAGATCTTGGAGTTGTAAATGAAATTTACAAGAGAAAAACACACGCTAGGCATCGGTAAATATTGAACCTATCACTTACTGAGGGGAAACACAATGGAACACTCAGAACTTTCCCAGAAAGGTATGTGTTCAATAAAAAATGCATTCCAACAAAAACATTCACGAAGCCTATCTAGATACTGAACTATTTAATATTCTGGGTTTTTGGAGTCGAGGATGCTGTTTAAAAAACATTTTCCAAATTACAAATTCCAGGAAATCCGGAACTAAAATATTATGGCTTCAGCTTTTTACAGAATCATATTTTCAGTGTCTGGGATGTCCAGGAGGTCTAGAGATTCAAAACATTTTGTCCCTTAACAACACTCCTTTATTATTTTGACACAGCCATATCAGGAGAAACAAAAGGGTCGGCATTATGAGACAGAAAAAGCTCACGAAAATGTTTGAAGTAAAACAAACGCTCGCAATAAAGTTAAAGCAACAAATATTTAGGCTGTACCCGTCCTTCCGCCTCGAAATCTGTCAACTTCCTGTACACAACACTGGGCGTAACGTTCATGACGGCGCCTACACACCCTCGCCCTACCATCAGCAAATCGAAGATTAAATCGGGATTCATCACTGAAGACGACTTGATTCCAATTCCTCTGAGTCCATCGTAAGTGTCGTTGCAACCACAATTGACGTTGACGTCTGTGTAATTGAGTCAGAATCGGCCCGCCGTCGTGCTTGAAGGTGAGCAGTTCTCGGACGGTTTTGAACAGTTTGCGCACTTAGTCTACCCCTAAACAGTTCATTTCTGGTTGATGTAGCCGTCAAAATCGGTTACGGAGGTGACGTAAGACAATCTGACGATCCTCTGCATGTGACGTCACACGTGGTCGACCTGGCCGAGGGCGATCAGCGGTGGTACCCGTTTGCTATAGACGCGTCTGTAAATCATAAACAGTCCGTCGATTACAACCCATCGTCCTTGCGACTTCAGCTACGGACGTTTTCGTCTGCAACATGCCGATGGCACGTTCACGTTGCACATTTGAAAGGCGTGGAATGACAAATGGCCGTAAAGACTTTTGTTTTCATGTGTTTTTCTTTTTTTGTTAATGACTGCTAACAAGTATGGCTGAAAACACGTGCGGTATTATGACCACGTGACCAGTTGCACGTGAAAAAAACCTTTTGCCACTATAGTGCTGTGCACATGATTTTGATCGATTCACCTGCACAAAAACGGGTGTTATCTGAAGACAATACTGTTTAAATACACAATAAGGGCCCACAATGATAACTGGTCAAAATGTTAAAATTTTAGGATTGTGAAGTTTTTAATTTGGTTCAGTATAGTTATCACAGCCTGCATTCTCAACACTTCTTGTTTGGAAATAAGTTGTGAGAGCTCAAGAATTCAATAAAAAATCTTGAGAGCCGCGAAGGTCCGGGGTAGAATAGGTCTTCAGCAACCCATGCTTGCCGCGAAAGGCGACGATGCTTGTCAAAAGAGGCGACTAACGGGATCGGGTGGTCAAGCTCGCTGACTTGGTTGATGCATGTCATCGTATCTCATTTGCGTGGATCGATGCTCATGATGTCAATGACTGCACAGACCGCGGTCATATAGCTGTAATATGCTGAGTGCGGCGTTAAACAACAAACAAACAACCATTAAAAAATCTTGTCATAAATTCATCTCAATAGAAGGGTCACAGATGGATCAGTCGTTTCAGTGGCCGCAGAGTTGCGTCCCTTGGGCACGCTTGCAACAAGCGTGGGTTGGAATCCAGGTTCGCCCCGATTATGTTTCTAGGTTTGTGAGTACCATGCCTTGCATTACTTCAGGCGTGGCTCGCACATTAAGCTGACATGCCGTAATAATACTGGAATACTGTTCAAAGCGGCGTTAAACCAAACACACTCATACATCTAAATAGAAGCGATAAACCATTCTCATAATCATAGGAAATCTCTGCATAAAAGCAGAGGTAATTTTATGTTTCTGAATTTATCATAAGCATATGTTTATCAAATAATGACGATACCAGCGGAACAATGTCAGTCAGTCAAATAAAGTAGTTCAGACAAATTTCACGCCATGCACAAACACACTAAATATGTAATTAAAACAAAGCCAACAAAGATACAGTTCTAAGTTTATTATTATTATTATTTATTATGATGAAGTTTGCTTTGACGCCCAATCGTTGTGAACACTATGTACGCTGGAATTTCCTGGAGTTTGTGTTGACAAGGTGCATTTTGTAACAACCAGTTACTTCATAAGGTAAGGACTGTTCTGTATAAGAACAATTCTTCTTTGCGTGGACTGAGAACTTCCTGAAGCCCGCATCATGGATTTTCCTCAGCATCTTCAGACGACGGAGGAGAGTGGAGGTGGTGCTTGGCCTCCCTCTGAACTCAATCAACAGCTGTCTGACGTGTGACAGGTCACGTGCCGTTATCAGTAACTCAAAGGCCATATTATCTTCATCATGGGAGTCGATTTTGAGAATATCCAGCGCGCGCTGTCGAATAGGAAGTGAGTGGGTGAGTGAGTGAGGTTTTGATTTTACGCCGCTTTAAGCAATATTCCAGCAATGTCACGGCGGGGGACACCAGAAATGGGCCTCACACATTGCACCCCTGTCGGGAATCAAACCCGGGTCTTCGGCGTGACGAGCGAACGCTTTAACCACTAGGCTACCCGACCGCCCCCGAATAGGAAGTACTCAGATGCTGTGGTAGTAATTCAAGACGAACATAGGTCATGTTTTAGGGCATGCATAAAGTAATCAGACGAATATTAAGGACATGGTGAGTGGATGAAGAGGGGGTTCATTAATAATTGTTACATTATTGTATTCTTATCAATCATTGGTAAACATGTGAATATGCCCTGAATAATAAACAGAGTATCACTTTCGATTTTAGAAGTCCCAGACGATTTACAGAAAATGAAACTAACCGCAGAATTGTACACTAATCTTCATTGTTTTCAAGCTTTTCTATCGAATGTTGCTCTCGAACGATGCCCAAACATTTAACACGCGATTCAAACATACACAATATGAATCCTTTCAATAAAAAGAAATTAGAAATATAATTCTCACTTTTAAACGTTCTTGTGGTATTATGACTAAATAAGGTAGACATGTTAAACCAAACCTGATTGTGTAAATGCAAGACATTATGATTTTTAAAGAAAAAAAAGAGTTTGTATCAATTCGTAAGGGGGAAATGGTTATGATTATACAGAAAATATGTACTTTTAGCTGCAGAATTTTGTTGATTTTACCGCAGAATTCGTCTGGGACTGAAAATGTATTCGTAGTACATGAACGAAAAAGTAATGCTATAATACCGCTACTATCGTTCATCGATCAACATCTCTTCCAATAAAACATGAATAAATTAATTATGGTATCCATCGCTATCTGAAAACTGACTTTTTTAAGCAGATGCAAATATTGTAAGGGAAAATCAAGCGTATATATAAAAAAAATGTTGCCAGAAATAGTGCGACCTAATTCGTGAAAAGCTATTCCGCCAATATTAATTAATCATAACAAAATAAAGAGAGCGTAAATACTGCTAACAGTGTTTCATATGCTGGTGACATGTGGAGGAAATTTCCAAATTTGACACTTCAGTGACAAAAATTATGTCTGAGGAAAATTCCCTATTTTGACTAGTAACACTGTTCAAGTGGACTTTCAGTTGAACAATTACCTTGGCTTTGCATGTGTTTGTCACGGTTGCCACAGGTGGGACAAGATGGTCTTACCTATTCGTGAACACCTGGTAACATCACTATTTGATAGTGATTAATAACACATGCTTTTGGTATCGTCGGATAAGTCATAAATATATAAAAACTGCCCTCAATGTAATATACGCCATGAGCAATAATATGTTCAAGCTGATCGAAATTATACTATTCAGTGTATTTCATAAACTTGATTAAGGAAACCATCAGTAAAGAAGGCTAAATAATTACTAAAAATACAATCAGTTTTGTTCAGATTCTGCAATGGAAGTCAAGTAAGGTAAACATCGTAACGGACCAACCACAGTGAGTGTCATCTCTACCTTAATACAATTGCAATTATACCAGGGACGGCGGAGTAGCCTAATGGTTAAAGCGTCCACTCGTCCCGCCGGAGACCAGGGTTCAATTCCCCAAATTATATCAAAGCGTAGAATGTGTACCAACTGACATACGTGTGCACCCATACCATAGAGTGTACACTAACACCGCTGCTGTAGGTGAAACAACAGGTGCACTTTGAACCCCGACTCACATGTGTTTGATTGAGGCGTCCCTGAAGTGTCCGGAGGGTGAGAAATTCCCATCTGTTCCCTGTGTAGACAACGCCCAGTCCTGCCCTCATCACCGTCAGCCCAGGGGCACGACGGTAGTGTTCTACAGGGCTAGTAGCGACAGAAGGTCAACATTTATAAGGTTATGCTACTCTCATGCACTTTCCAGTTAAGTCTTTGAATGACATTTAGAAGTGATACATATAATGAAGAGAATATATGGATGTTACGTCTTTGTTATGAGGAACACAACGTTTCGGAGTATATAATAATTATTACTCTTTCAACAGGTGATGGATGTTACGTCTTTGTTATGAGGAACACAACGTTTCGGAGTATATAATTACTCTTTCAACAGGTGATGGATGTTACGTCTTTGTTATGAGGAACACAACGTTTCGGAGTATATAATTACTCTTTCAACAGGTGATGGATGTTACGTCTTTGTTATGAGGAACACAACGTTTCGGAGTATATAATTACTCTTTCAACAGGTGATGGATGTTACGTCTTTGTTATGAGGAACACAACGTTTCGGAGTATGTACTTACTCCTTCAACAGGTGATGGATGTTACGTCTTTGTTATGAGGAACACAACGTTTCGGAGTATATACTTACTCCTTCAACAGGTGATGGATGTTACGTCTTTGTTATGAGGAACACAACGTTTCGGAGTATATACTTACTCCTTCAACAGGTGATGGATGTTACGTCTTTGTTATCAGGAACACAACGTTTCGGAGTATGTACTTACTCCTTCAACAGGTGATGGATGTTACGTCTTTGTTATGAGGAACACAATGTTTCGGAGTATGTACTTATTCCTTCAACAGGTGATGGATGATACGTCTTTGTTATGAGGAACACAACGTTTCGGAGTATATACTTACTCCTTCAACAGGTGATGGATGTTACGTCTTTGTTATCAGGAACACAACGTTTCGGAGTATGTACTTACTCCTTCAACAGATGATGGATGTTACTACTTTGTTATGAGGAACACAACGTTTCGGAGTATATACTTACTCCTTCAACAGGTGATGGATGTTACGTCTTTGTTATCAGGAACACAACGTTTCGGAGTATGTACTTACTCCTTCAACAGGTGATGGATGTTACGTCTTTGTTATGAGGAACACAACGTTTCGGAGTATATACTTACTCCTTCAACAGGTGATGGATGTTACGTCTTTGTTATGAGGAACACAACGTTTCGGAGTATATACTTACTCCTTCAACAGGTGATGGATGATACGTCTTTGTTATGAGGAACACAACGTTTCGGAGTATATGCTTACTCCTTCAACAGGTGATGGATGTTACGTCTTTGTTATGAGGAACACAACGTTTCGGAGTATATGCTTACCCCTTCAACATGTGATGGATGTTACGTCTTTGTTATGAGGAACACAACGTTTCGGAGTATATACTTACTCCTTCAACAGGTGATGGATGTTACGTCTTTGTTATGAGGAACACAACGTTTCGGAGTATATACTTACTCCTTCAACAGGTGATGGATGTTACGTCTTTGTTATGAGGAACACAACGTTTCGGAGTATATACTTACTCCTTCAACAGGTGATGGATGTTACGTCTTTGTTATCAGGAACACAACGTTTCGGAGTATGTACTTACTCCTTCAACAGGTGATGGATGTTACGTCTTTGTTATGAGGAACACAATGTTTCGGAGTATGTACTTATTCCTTCAACAGGTGATGGATGATACGTCTTTGTTATGAGGAACACAACGTTTCGGAGTATGTACTTACTCCTTCAACAGGTGATGGATGTTACGTCTTTGTTATGAGGAACACAACGTTTCGGAGTATGTACTTACTCCTTCAACAGGTGATGAATGTTACGTCTTTGTTATGAGGAACACAACGTTTCGGAGTATATACTTACTCCTTCAACAGGTGATGGATGTTACGTCTTTGTTATGAGGAACACAACGTTTCGGAGTATGTACTTACTCCTTCAACAGGTGATGGATGATACGTCTTTGTTATGAGGAACACAACGTTTCGGAGTATGTACTTACTCCTTCAACAGATGATGGATGTTACGTCTTTGTTATGAGGAACACAACGTTTCGGAGTATATACTTACTCCTTCAACAGGTGATGGATGTTACGTCTTTGTTATGAGGAACACAACGTTTCGGAGTATGTACTTACTCCTTCAACAGGTGATGGATGTTACGTCTTTGTTATGAGGAACACAACGTTTCGGAGTATGTACTTACTCCTTCAACAGATGATGGATGTTACGTCTTTGTTATGAGGAACACAACGTTTCGGAGTATATACTTACTCCTTCAACAGGTGATGGATGTTACGTCTTTGTTATGAGGAACACAACGTTTCGGAGTATGTACTTACTCCTTCAACAGGTGATGGATGTTACGCCTTTGTTATGAGGAACACAACGTTTCGGAGTATATACTTACTCCTTCAACAGGTGATGGATGTTACGTCTTTGTTATGAGGAACACAACGTTTCGGAGTTTGTACTTACTCCTTCAACAGGTGATGGATGATACGTCTTTGTTATGAGGAACACAACGTTTCGGAGTATATACTTACTCCTTCAACAGGTGATGGATGTTACGTCTTTGTTATGAGGAACACAACGTTTCGGAGTATGTTCTTACTCCTTCAACTGGTGATGGATGTTACGTCTTTGTTATGAGGAACACAACGTTTCGGAGTATATACTTACTCCTTCAACAGGTGATGGATGTTACGCCTTTGTTATGAGGAACACAACGTTTCGGAGTATGTACTTATTCCTTCAACAGGTGATGGATGTTACGTCTTTGTTATGAGGAACACAACGTTTCGGAGTATGTACTTACTCCTTCAACAGGTGATGGATGTTACGTCTTTGTTATGAGGAACACAACGTTTCGGAGTATATACTTACTCCTTCAACAGGTGATGGATGTTACGTCTTTGTTATGAGGAACACAACGTTTCGGAGTATGTACTTACTCCTTCAACAGGTGATGGATGTTACTGCTTCATCTCCATGTTGATGGCGTATCAAGTCTTTGAAAGGCATTTAGAAGTGATACACATAAAGAAGAGAATATATTGATGTCAACTTCTTTATGTCGAGGAACACAACTTTTCGGCGTATATGCTTACTCCTTCATCGGGATGATGGATGTTACTGCATCGTCACCATGTTGATGGCGTATCAAGTCTTTGAAAGGCATTTAGAAGTGATACACACCTGATGAAGGAGTAAACATATACTCCGAAACGTTGTGTTCCTCATAATAAAGAAGTTGACATCCATAAATTCTCTTCCTTTCCTTTCCAGTTGTTTAACAGTACTTCAACAGTTTTATGAATGTATGTTGGGTTGTCATCCTGACACTTATACTATAGATCTTAGTAGCAAAGAATAAAGAATGCATACTACTCAAAATAAGTTAAAGAACACCCGATTATTTTAAATTACCATGACAGATTCACTATAGCAATATGAAAAAAATAGGTGTTCTTTAACTTCTTTTGAATAGTATAGCTATGTTAATCGGGTCCTTCGTTAATCTGTAGTTTTCACAGTATACGTTTCCGATACACAAGTTAAAATTAATACACACGCTTTTCATAACGTATTGAATAACATGTTGCTGAACCTATAACTTCAAGGATATAATTACCAGGTGCCATCTACTGACAAATTGTTTGAAAGATGAATTAGATATAATATAAAAATTATATTAGATTAATAATTGAATATGTTTGTTGTTTAAACACCAGACTAAGCAATATTACTGAGTATGACAGACGAACCAGTGCTTTATATAACGAGGAACGTTCATGCGATCAGCACAGTCACCGAGCCTGAATACCCGAGCTAGTACATCGCCTATCATAGCACGCATAGGCTGCTGGGAACCTGGCCGAACCAGACATGACCACGGAGGCTATTATTGATAAAACACGAAAACGAATAGAAAGGGATATTTAGTAGCAAGACCCCCGAGGGGACACGTTTGGCCTAGTCGTCTAAGGCGCCGCAGAGTTGCGTTCGTTTGGCGTACAAGAAACCTGATGTTTCAACTCGATACCCGTGATCGAGTGGTAAACGTCTAAGACATGCATCACACTTGCTTGCGCAATTCTCTCACTCATTCAACCCCTGTAGTGGTTAGCACTTACTGCAGGTGAGTGGGCACATTTCGCTACTTACTGAGTTCTCAAAGCAACAACATCACAACGGTAGAGGCGCCGAACGTCGTCATCAAAGGTGGATCCAAGTGACGTTCTGGAATGATGTTACTTTTTATTATAACATGAGCTGGTTCAAACCATTACACCATTTTAATATGATATAATGTACTATACACCAGAGCGGAATAATGACGTTAATTAATGGACCTTTGTGAAACCGTGTATGTGTTAATGCTCCAAATACTGTTATTCACACCAAACCTAAGTTACACAGTTTGGTTTGGGCCATATTTGTTGTTATTATCCATGTGAGTGAATGGGTATAGTTTAACCCCGCTTTTAACAATATTCCAGCAATATCACGGTGGGGGACACTAGAAATTGGCTTTACACATTGTACCCATGTCGGGAATCGAACCTGGGTCTTCGGCATGACGAGCGAACGCTTTAACCACTAGGCTATCCGACCGCCCCTTATCCATGTGAAGAGAGAACAGCATAGAACAAATAATACATATAGCGTCCACCGAAATAGATTCCATTTGGTGTTAAGGGCAAAATAGCTGTGACATTTAGATGGAAATCAGTGATGACACCAGGTTTTCGCGAAAAGGGTAAGCAGGTTCTGCCCAACAGGCGACACCCACCATTGACAAAATCTCCACAAAAAGTAAATATTTATTGCCTGACGCCATGTATTATATATTCATTAAAACATTATGAATACATTGGCTCACCCCAGTTTAGCAGCAATTGTAAGTGTTAACAAAAATCTATTTAAATAACCAAATAACTTAATTTTTTATATGTCCATCAATCTATTGTGGAAATAAACATATTCGAAATCTAATTTCATGTGACAAGAATTATTTATCATCAGCTTTTTGACATTTGTATCGTGTTTTCCATGTTTTATTTTTCCATGTGTTATATGTATTACTTGTATATAATGTCTGTGCACTGTACATATATTATTCACATATCACAATGAAATGTATATAGGTGAAGGCCTCGTAAGTGTGTCACTTGTGCCTAATCCATTTGATTTTTCTCAATAAGATATGTTTAAATTAATAATTCAAATCAGTTTATTTCAGCAACATTTGGAAAGTCCCGTAGTCAAAGCAATGATGTATAATTGTGAACGTTCGCATGCTGTTTTGAGATCTCGTCACATACTATAAACCTCTGAATCATCCACTCACCCGACCGAGTACACCAGACAAGGAGGGGCGGGGCGGGGCCTGTCATCATCACAAACGTCCCAGCCATCTTCACCCAGTCCCCCCATCCGTAGCTGACGTTCGCACAGAAAGTTGATATTGGACATATAACTGTTGAAGACACGAGGCAATGCACGATGTGTCACAAATACAAAAAATATATCTCTGCCATTTGTCTTATACATTGGCTTCACTGGTGTTTATCACGAGTCAGCACTACTTTAGTAGGTTGTCCAAAGTGTAATCTTTGATTTCACTATTGTGCAAACATTGACTTCACTATTGTGTCTCATATGTATGCATTCACTTCACTGGTGTGTCGTTGGTTGATTGTTTAACGCCGTACTCAGCAATATTCCAGCTATATGGAGGCGGTCTGTAAATAATCGAGTCTGGACCAGACAATCCAGTGATTGATATCATGAACATCAACCATGTCAGCGAGCCTGACCACCCGATCCCGTTAGTCGCCTCTTATGACAAGTATAGTCGCCTTTTACAGCAAGCATTGTTTGCTGAAGACCTATTCTACCCCGGATCTTCACGGGTCTCAATGGTGTGTCCCGTGTCTCCCGTGCAAGAATTGACTTCACTGGTGTGTCTCATGTGGAGGCATTGTTGATGGAAGGTATTTGTTAAAACATTATTTTGCTAAATACGCAAACAAATCAAACGGTGTAAACAAAGATAACAGAAATAACTAATGAACTTTATTTTCGCAAATAACGTAAAATGCGTTATATTCCAAATGAAATATAAAAAATCATATTTTGTCCTAATTAACTTGTTATTCTGTCGACTATCATAGGGCGTTACTATATTCTTATGTGAAACTGTCCATATTTCTTCTGAGTTTTCCCATCTACTGTCCTCCCTGAATTTTCATTCCGACGTGAAATAATTGAAAGTATTGGTATCTCAATTTTATAACAATTGCACACACAAATATAAAACCCCAGGTCAGTGTGAACTTTCTTGAGTTGTGTTTATTAAAGTTTCCAAAGCAAAGTGACTCGAAATATGTCATCAATTTATTTAAAGATTTAAAGGCTGATACTAATGCGCTCCCCTTCTTACTGGTCTGTTTCTTTATGCATATGAATCAAAATTTCTGCTCGGTAATTTGGCCAAGAAGCTTCAGGTATATCGATGATCTGATATCGTTCACTAGCAATCAAATAGCCCATTCCCTTCCACTGATTTACCCACCTGAACAAGAAATAAAGGTCACCAGAGAGGCTGCCATACATTTTTCATATTTAAATCTATGCATAAATATTCATAGTGACAAAACACCCTCCACACGACAGTATGACAAGAGGGATGACTTCAACTTTCCAATTGTCAACTTTCTCTTTATGTCGAGCAATATTTCTGCAGCTCCAGCCCTTGATGTCTACATTTCACAACTTTTGGGGGTACAATCAAGCATGCTCTTTCTAGCAAGATTTCAAGGAGAATAGGAAAAGGGTTTTGTCGATTTTATTTAAAATGTCTAGAGTTACACAATGAGCAAAAAACTTTTTTTATTTCTCTTTTATACTTATATTTCGTCCGCCCGCCCGCTCGCTCTCTTGCTGGTTGAAGATGAGAAACAGATAGAAAACGAATGGCCCGATGGGTTGTCATGGGTGAATATACCACTTGACACCCTGGAAGGGTAGTAGTTTCTATACAACATATCGATATACGATTATGCTTAACACAAATTTTAGTGAACGTTGCGAAGAACTGACACATCGTTCATACCTACCCTTGTAAACTCACCTGTGGAAAGTGTTTATCAGATAACGCTCAGGTAATTCTGGCAACTCGTCGCAGGGGGGAAGATGCAGCTGGCAAGTCGAACAAATTATGCAAATCAAATATCTAATTAAATTAGATAATGTTTTACTGAATGTTGCACTATAAAATCGTGTTTTACTTATTCATATGTTTGTAAGTGCATCAGTTGTGGATAAATCAAGAAATGTCGTTCGAAATGTTGCATGTTTCAAATACGGAAACCAATGAGTGTTATGTGAAGATGTTATTTCATATTAATGAAATCCGGAAATAGTTTTTTTTGTATATACTCCTACTTTCGTATTTGACACAACACATTATGCTGTCATGACTTGTTAAACAGTATGCTTCACAGCATGAAAAGTAGTCAGGTTTCCATTGTCTCCAAACCTTCCTAATTCCTTCTTATTTTAGTCCTGGAAGATACATTTGCACCATCATGGCAAAGATTTGGTAGAGCATTCTGTTCATAGGTATGAAATATTTAAAACACATATATAAGCTTCATCATTAAATTTGTATGTTGCGTAAGGGTTTCCGGGAGGAATCTATACATAAATATTCTGAATGTATCAGAATGTTTGTATCTGGTATATAACAGCTTACCAGACTGAGTGAGCGGATGCGGCTCACGGGGTGGTCGATGTCATCAGACACTGGCGACACGTGGCCATGATCAGGCCTGTCCGTCACCATGCTAGGAAGACGAGATGACCTTGACAGCTGGGGAAACACGTAATGAATATGGTATGATACTAAGATATGATAAGATACCTGTACAGTGGTACATTTACATCAACTTTGGGCCGCGTACAAACATTATTCTCCACGGGCATGCATGACCATTATTGATGGCAGATAATTGTTTATTTACGTCTCACCTTTGTTTATATCATAAACAGTACAATGGGTAGATACAAAGCCACTCTTGAAAATATTTAAGAGAGACCATAATTCAAATCTACAACACACACACACACACACACACACACACACACCACACACACACACACACACACACACACACACACACACACACACACACACACACACACACACACACACACACACACACACACACACACACACAATTAGATGTATATGAGTGGAATCAGTTGTGACAAGATTGACGTCATACAACGAAGAGGGAATTGAGTAAAATAAAAGTTGTCTCTGGGAAGTAGGTACCATGTAAAGTGTTAATAATATGGAATGAATGAATCGATAAGCAGACTGAAATTAAATGTCCCATCCAGTGGAGATGAAAACTCCGTGATCACGATTGTTGGATGGCTTGACTCGTCTGATGTGGATAGTTTATTGGAGCTTGCGCTTCCTCCAGGTGGGAATGTTTGTAAAGAGGAATTTAGTGTGTTGCCAGGAGATGTTGATATGTTCTGAAGTCCGATTCTTCGAACAAATTTAACAAGAAAGTTACATGCACTTTCAGTTGAATTACTTCATAATTGTTTGATGAAGGCAACTAAATAACAGAAGGTCAGGTGCCTCTAGCTACATATACCGTACAGTTGGAAGCATTTCCGGTTTATTTACCCTGGCCCTCAAGTTCTGCCAATCACGTGCTTCATTCATTCTTGTTCTTAACATTTGTCACCCAACTACAGGGATTTAGTCAGTACACAAACCAGCATAACTACCTGAAGGACAGATCCAAGACAACGTGTTATGCACCTGCATCTAACTTCATTAGATTTCAAACAAAATTCTCATCTTTAGTACGATTTATCAAGAATTCTAAAATGTTCATTTCGTCGTTATACTATCAACATATTCTTCCTTTGAATGTCTTGTGGCAAACAGAACATGATACATATAGAATACTAAACGAGATCCCGTGTAATATCAATTTTATGAAACGAGTGAATAGTTCTGGTATCTGAAGAGCGAAAGCGACATAGATCCAATTTGTTGCCTTGGAAACGTATAAAAACTTATATATACTTACTGAACATTTGGAAGAACCCGTTGGTACGAATGAAACACCTTTGAGAAAGTATTCAGTGATGTGTCCTGTTTTATATTTTAAATATAATGGACCGTACACTCCAATTGCAAGTACGATGTGCATAGTTGCGTCCCTTAGCCGTGTTGGGATACGGTGATCATGGGATTACGAACACTGCATACTTTACACCATGTCCTTGCTCATTGACAACTTAAATGACAAACGTGGCAGACTTCGGGCTTTCCTCGCAAAAAACGGACCTTAAACATTGTATCTATGTGGGAATCGAAGCGTGCTCTCCAGCGTGATGAGTGGACTCTTTAGTCACAAGGATATCCCTACGCCCCTGTCTTTAGATCAGTTCAATTCTACAAATAAGGCACTAACCAGTACATCACGTAGGCTACTGAGGACAGCAACGAGTACTGCCACCAACAGGGTCGCCATCCACACCCACAGGCACGTAACACGCATCGTGTTACCTAATGTTGATGGTAGAAAATCCCGTGATTTGGGATGATGTCTCCGCAATATAACACTGGTATTATCCGAGAGGAACATTCAGTATGCTGTTGACGACGTTTCAATGTTGACGTCCTGCAAACTTTACCAGTTTCACAATTATGTTCCAGCTGTTGTGTGAAGTTCCTACTTGGGGTGTCAATGTCACACACCGTCATCGATCCACATCGTCAAATTGATTGGGTTGTATGGGATGTTCTGAAGGGTGTGTGCATGAGGTTGTGGTGAGTTCAAACCTAACGTTGCATATGCATATAGCGAGGTGTGCAGGTGTTCTATTTTCAATAAAAAAGGAACTTGGATAATCCGAAGATCTGTATTATGACACCCTGGGTAAAGTGAAGAATGGATGCTGTTTAACGTCACTGTCATATTACAGCTATATCACGACAGTCTGTAAATAAGTAAAATACGGTTATAACGAACTCAAAGGGACCACTAATTTTAGTTCGTTATAACCGTAGTTCGTACTAAGCATAATAAATACAGCATATAAACAAACGACCGGGACCAAAACATTAGTTCGTAATATCCATCAATTCGTTATAACCGTGTTCGTCATAAACGTAGTTGACTGTAATCGAGTCTCATCCATGCAAACCAGTGACTGAATAATAAAAACGACAAAACCCCTTCCATATTCATGAGAAATCCCTGCCAAAAAGTCGATTGTACGATTTGCACCGTCACAAACACATGCAAAGGCAAGTCAATTGTTCACCTGAAAAAATCACGGAAACATATGGTACACGTCAAAAAAAGGAATTGCATCAGACATCATTCTTGTCACTGGTGAGTCAAATTTGGAAATATTTGAAGTTTTGAAAAAACGACATCGGACATCATTGTTGTCACTGTTGTTTTGAAAACACGACATACAACACTTCAGTTAATATCTAAATATCGCTGACAAAATATCCCCTTCGATAACAATCAGTGTTACTGTGACAAATAACTACCATTTATACAATTCATATATTCACAAATTCGATGTACAGATTGTATAACGCGCGATGATTTAGATATAAAGATGCGGTTTGTAAATGACATGTCAATGGCCGAGGAGAAGATATAAGACAGTTGTGACGAGAGTTGAGAGAAACAGTGACAATGAAAATACAAACTTCTTGTCTCTTTTATATGATGGTGATCAATCGCATTAAAGACAAATGTAACCGTTTTAGGCAAATGTTGTGATGAATATGACGAACAACCAGCCTGTAACTTTCCTAGTTGCTTCTTAGAGATGTGGTGGTGAAATGGGGTTTAACGTCGCGTCCAAGATTATTGCACTTACATAGCGACGTGCTATCACGTGTGCGTTAGTGTGTGTGTGCGTGTGTGTGTGTGTGTGTGCGTGTGCGTGTGCGTGTGTGTGTGTGTGTGCGTGTGCGTGTGTGTGTGCGTTAGTGTGCGTGTGTGTGTGTGTGTGTGTGTGTGTGTGTGTGTGTGTGTGTGTGTGTGTGTGTGTGTGTGTGTGTGTGTGTGTGTGTGTGTGTGTGTGTGTGTGTGTGTGTGTGTGCTTGTACAAGTCCGGACCGATGCCGATTAATAGCCCACTGAGATACGATGCCGCTGTTTAACATGAATATCTCACTCAGACACAGTATACTGACTCCCAGCCGACCAGTCCTTGGTTTAGCCCCTTAATGCCGAGCGCCAGACAAGTACAATATTTTAGAGTCTTTTGGGACGACGCGGCCGGGGATCGAACCCGGTCATTTTGCCATCCGGGCGGACGCTCTACCTCAAGACCACGGAGGCGTTCGTTGTTCCGAAATATTCTTAAATATGATTCACAATGTCATTTCATTTAATAAACACCACTGAAGTTTTTAATTAGTGCCACGAGCAAGCATGTCTTACATTTCATGGAATATGAATGCAGCTGTTGTGATAATTTCACCTTATCGCCCCTGGTACATACCAATAAATATGTACTTTATTGCATGAACATATATTGATGATCGAAATGAACAGTTATGATATATATTACTAAAACAACAGATTGCACAACACGTCATGAATTGTGTTTTTCTAAAGAATATATGCTGCGTTTTTGTCAATGAATTATGTATCTGCAGTTTCTTCTCTTTTTTAACTGGTCAACAACGTATTCATCCGAACGTCAGTGTACAGCCAGTAAGGTTCACCATGTCAAAGTTTTCATTTTAACGTCAATGTACAGACAGTTCGGTTCACCATGTAAAATTCTTCATCTCAAAGTCAATGTACAGCCAGTTAGGTTCACCATATCAAAGCCTGACACTGTTGACAGGACGGCGTCAGGCAACAAACATTTATACGAATGAGACCCGTGAAGATCCGGGGTAACATAGGTCATCAGCAACTCATACTTGCCGTAAAAGGCGACTATACTTGCCGTAAGAGGCGACTAACGGGATCGGGTAGTCAGACTCGCTGACTTGGTTGATGCATGTCATTGTTTGCCAATTGCGTGGATTGATGCTCACGATGTCCATCACTGGATTGTCTTGTCCACACTCGATTATTTACAGACCGCCGACATATAGTTGGAATATGGCCTAATGCGGCGTTAAACAACAAACAAATAAATATAAATGGACCAGTGAAAATCAGTGATGACACCAGATGTTCGCGAAAAGGGTAATCATGTCTTGCCCTACTGGTAGCACCCGCCACACACGCAATTTGCATGAAAAAGTGGGTATTTATTGCCTTACTCAGCATAGCAGTAGTCTTGCAATGCGCCGGTGGCCTGTAAACAAACCAGATAATCAAGTGATCGATGAAGCAGAACATCCTGTGTACTATGACGCATTTACAGATTTTGTTAATTTTGTCTGCTGTGTACAAGTGCAGAGACGCCATGCGACTCCAAGCATATACATATGTGAGTGATTGCAGGCCAAGGCAATCCCACCGCTAAGCTTATCCCCACCCTACTGACCTTTTCCTACCACACATGCAACCGATACAAGAATATCAATCAATACTGAATTACACTCTGAGTGTATGAAATATGACTGATAATTTATAAATATAAAACGTCCACGCCAGAAAAGAAGCAGTCTCAATCATCCACTTAAATAGCGGAGAAAATTATATAAATTTAAATAAATACAGAAGAAATCAGCAGCAGACACAGGTCTAAGCCATGGATCCATAGAAAGTATTATTAATGAACATTGACAAATGAATAAGATATCTGCTTGTTGGGTGCCAAAGTTTCTTAATTCCGACATTGAGGAAAAAAGAACGGACATTATCAGAGCTCATTAAGGAGGATTTCGTCACATTCAAAAAGATGTTAGTAACGGGTGATGAAACATGGGTCTGCTACTATGATCACGAGATAGAGCGTCAATCAATGGAATGGCACCATTTCACTTCTCCAGCAACAAAGAAATTCAAGACTTCAAGATCAGTGACGAAAGTTATGGCCACTGTGTTCTTGGATGCAAAGGAGACTGCCTGAGTTCTACTACTTCATGACAATGCCTCTTCTTACACCTTTCGACTTGCAAAGGTTGCTGTGCGACAATGTTGGTTCAAAGAGCTTCCTCACCCTCCATACTCACCAAACCTCGAACCAAGTGATTTTCTAAACTAAAAGAACTCCTTCATGGAAAGCGCTATGACAACAATGATGACCTCAAAGTAGTAGTGACATAGCTCTTTACAAATAGCATGAACCCAGAGAACAAGACCGATCTGTAAATATGTTCACCATTAACGTGATGGTTAACTGGTGGAAATGAGCCTGCATGCACAACCTCACTGCTAACAGAAACACCCTGAGATGTGGTTGAATACCACCGTTTTTAGCTACAGACTAGACGGCATTGTACGACCCGAAGGGGTGTGGGAGACCGCTCATTTTTGTGAACGATGGTTGTGTAGCCCTGAAACAGTGGTTTGTGTGTGTTCTGAAATAGATTTCATCATGTTTGATAAGCTGTTCTGACATATCGAACGTATGCAATTCTATTTGAGTTATCTACAGCCACCATATATACATTGAAGTGAAAGCTTTCGATAGATCGATGTGTTTATGTGCAACATGTTTGTGTGAACGACATGCTAATTTTGAGGTATCGAAAGAAGTTTATATTTTTAATTTGTCATATTCAATAAATCCATATTTATAAATCCAATGCTAGAGGTGTTGCTATAATGTTTAATAATAATGAAGACATTACAATTCACAGCACAAAAGTGGATGAAAATGGCAATTATATAAAAGCTTGATATAAGTCTTGAAGATACAAGACTAACATTAACTAATCTCTATGGACCAAACAGTGATGTCCCTGATTTTTATAAAAATCTGTTTGATAATAGGGACAACTTCGAAAATGATTCCTTAGTTATTGTGGGTGACTGGAACCTTGTTCTTAATCCTGCAGTTGATTTAGAAAATTATAAAAATATAAATAACCCTAAAGCAAGATGGGTAGTACTGGAAAAAAATAGAATAATGAAATATGATAAATGTATGGAGAGAACAAAATAAAGACTTTACAAGGTGGAAACAAAAGCCTAACAAGCTAGGCGGGATTTCTTTTTAGTGTCCGAAATATGACATTGGAAACAAATATTTTACTTGCATATAATAGTGATCACTAAGTCATAACATTATCTTTCTCTAATACAAATAATCAAAAAAGAGGACGCGGGTATTGGCAATTAAATACTTTATTCCTATTAAATAAAGATTATACAGAGTTGGTTAAGACAGTTATAGAAGAAACTAAAATAGAATATTTTTGAGAATAATGAACAAAGTGAGTTAGACTGCAAAATTAAAATAAATGACAGTTTATTTCCTGTAACCCTCTTAATGAAATTTACAGGGAAAAGAATTTCATTTTCTTCAATCGTTAAAAGAACCAAAATCAATCAAACCAAAGACTTAGAAAGTAAGATATACGATTTAGAAGATGACATGAGGCGAAATCTTCAACAAATAGATGAAAAACGTCTATCAAAAAATACAAATTAGAAATGGAACATATTAAAGAAGATGAAATAAGAGGAATAAAATTCGAAAAAGAATGAAATGGTGTGAGGAAGGAGAAAAGCCAACAAGTTATTTCTGCCACTTAGAAAAAATAATGTCAGTTAAATAATAAATAAAGTTTCAACTGAAGATGATACGGTAATAACAGGTGGCAATTGCATATTTGATGAATTAATAACCCTTTATAAAAAAATATATACATCTGATAGCAATGACAGAAGTTACGAAAATGTAACAAATTAAGAGACTCCAACATTAGACAACCAAATGATAAACTTATTAGAACGAGAAATTGAGCTTTAAGAAATTTAATTGGCGATTTAAAACATGAAAACAATATAAAAGCCCCGGTATTGATGGCTTTCCTATTGAATGTTTTAAGTTTTTCGGGAAAGAACTAAAATCCGAATATACAGATTTGTCAAATGTAAAAAGTACTTCAGCAAATAACAAAATGAGTATGACAATGAAAAGAGGAGTTATAACTTGTATACCAAAATCAAACAAAGACAGAACATTGATAAAAACATGGAGACCAATAACTTTATTGAGTGCACTCAATAAAATAATTAGTACTGCAAATCTATAAAATCAACATCGGAAATGCTCATTCATAATGGTCAAACAGGATTTATTCCAGGAAGATCTATTTCAGAAAGCACAAAGTTATGCGATATTATCCTTGAATCCAAAAGTCAAAATAAATCAGGATTACTTCTGCTGATAGATTTTGAAAAGGCATTTGATACGGTACAAAGTTGTGGATTTGGACCAGAAATCATAAGGTGGATAAATATACTTACATACGATACTTCATCAACCATAATACAAAATGGGCATCTGAATGTTTTACAAATGAAAGAGGCTGTCGACAAGGAGAGACATTGTCGCCATATATTTTCCTTCTCGTAGCTGAAACCCTAGGATGTATGATTATAAATAATAATAAAATTGAAGGGATTAGTGTTAATGACAAAGAATACAAACTTGGGTAGTATGCTGATGATACTGAATTATATTTAAATGGTAAAGATGAAAGCTTATGTGCAGCTATAGAAACACTTAATACATTCTACAAAATGTCTGGCTTAAAAATCAATGTAGACAAAAAAAAGCAATATGGATATGCTCATGATCAAAAGGATAAAATATTTTACGATTTTATTTTTTATCCGAAATATTTTTGACGGAATACTGTATTACTCTACAACTCTGGGATCAAACAAAAGGTTTTTTTAAAAAACAACCAAAACAAATAGATAAATAGACAGTCAGATGAACATATGTGTAGACATCCATGTTGAACATGCTAAACATACCATATTTAATGCACTCAATTAGAAACAGTGTTTCGAGAAATACATACAGTGACAGTAGCTGTCGAGATATTACTTGAGTTTATTACAAGAATAAAATATCAACATCACAAACGCATACTACATGTTGGTTGGTTGGTTTGTTGTTTTACGCCGCACTCAGCAATATTCCAGCTTTACGACGGCGGTCTATAAATAATCGAGTCTCGACCAGACAATCTAGTGATTGACATCATGAACATCGATCCACGCTATTGGGATCGATGACTTGCATCAACCAAGTCAGCGAACCTGACGACCCGATCGCCTTTTACGACAAGCATAAACGCTTGTTACGGCAAGCATGGCTTGCTGAAGACTTATTCTACCCCGGATCTTCACGGGTCTACTACATATATATGCATAACGTACATGTATACATATGATAATTTATTAAGTATTCTTTTACTAATCAACATCTATAAAAAAATATCTTTGTGATATACATGTAGGCTTACACTCGGTGAAACAGCTAAGCATAATGTGTATGCAATGGCATTAGAGCTAAAACGTATGGGCTGTAATCCACAGCATAATATAATGTTGGTCAGTAATACTCGTTGACCCAAATACAGTGTGTATTCCATAGCATAGTTGACAAATACGAGCATAGTGCTGCGGGTCTCACTCAAATTCCCTCCAAGCTGTTAAACATCTGGAGCACGGATTCAGCCAACCACGAATTCTTATTTTGTCATTGTGTTCTCGTATATATTTTCCTCTGAAATACAAATGTTAAACATGAGTTCAAATAACTTGGTTATATTCAAAATATTTAGCTTACCTAATTATCTATATTAGTAAGGTGACAGGTGACAGTTAACTTCACACATGTTTAATGCAATACAACTTTGATAGCTACCTTAATAAGAATGTTCGAAACACTTCCGGTTTTATAGCAATGGCATCCCTAACGGGTTGGTTTCAATGTCAGCCATAAACTGCCCAGAGATACAAATTCCAATTATAAATGCTCAAGATCATATGTACACACTCTTCAAAGGAAGTGCCATTCACACATACTGACCTTGACCTTCAACGTCATCCAATAACATGCGAGAACATTACTTATTCCACCCTTAGTCAAGCTAACAATATTTCCTGCAAGTATATACAACTACATTGTATATAATCATTTCACGAGTCAATGATCTTTAATGTGACCTTGACACTTGACATAATTTGTTTTGTTTGCAGTTTAACGCCACACTCGGCAACATTCCAGCTATATGACGGCGGGCTGTAAATACTCAGACAATCCAGTGATTGATACACGAGCATCAACTCATGAAATTTGGATACGATGACATGCAACAAATATGGAACATGCAATCAAATAAGCCACAACCATGACAGGTATTGAGTTGATTATTGATATCCTATCATAAGGGATTGGGAAAAGCTTAGATTCTTTACGAATTAATGCGAATTTTCGTGAAATGTGAACAATGTTTCATAATTTGACCTCTTGTAGCGTTCATCCCAAACACTCCCGCCTTACAAATCATGTGTACTAAGGTTCATCAAATTTCATTCATTAATATCCAAGTTATTGTGTACACAATACCTAGTTCATACCGAGCGAACTTGCCCTTCAATGTCATCCACTCAAATGTCAGAAAATATCCCCTTGGGTATATTGGATGTATAGGAGGTATGTCAGTTGTAGTCTCTACTACCTGCTATACTCAAGTGGTTGAGAAAACCATTTGCAGCGGCGGCAGCGGAGCTCAAAACAGAGCAAACACGATAAGCAGACTCCTTACAAAGGGCTGCTTATTTAAGGTAGATAAGAACTGAAATTCGTATCTATTTACCACCAAGATCCCGTGTCTGATAATCCACCTCACTGTAGTACTCTTCCCCATCTGCTTGACAATTTCCTATTAAAGACAAAAAACATCAGATGTTGTATTTCTACATGTTTTTCACATGTCAATTTTCTTGTGAACTCTTCACAATATGTATATAATCGAAAATGACTTTGTCTCGAAACGTAATCTGGGGACGAGTGTAGTTCTTTACATTTTTAACATGTGTGGACTAGACACGGTCCCATTCGCAGACCAAGCACATTTGATTAAACCATTCAAACCCTTACTTGTCAATGTAAACAATATCGAATGAAATACGGAACACACTCGGGATAGCGGAAATATCAACTTAAAAAACAAGTACATAAGTCATTCAAATACGAACGAAACATTACGTAATGGACATCTGTCTTATACGGAACTACTCTACGTAACGCAAGAGGTTCTCTTTACTGTTTGATTGGATTAAGGTTCTATTAAATAAGTACAAATCTCCTAGGGTTGGAAGGGAGGTAGCATTGATATTTAGTCGCATGTTTTCCAAAGGTTCAGCAGTCACATTAATTTCAAGATTTACAGTCACTGAAATGGTTAACCCAAACTCACTCTCTCGCCCACAACAATTATTTCGAGTGGCCATACTTATAGTCTATGTTACACATAAATAACACTATTACCGGCGCCAGAAGTCCCCTGTTCTTCGATGTATACATTAGGGCTGCTTTGGAAATGAACCGACCTGAAATATATGAGATTTAACATAGAAACAAGAAGACAACGTGATCCATAACCTGCTCCATTCCTGTATGCCTTTAAATATATACAAACTATATATGACTGACCATAAATATGTAACACATTTTCCCCGATGGCGTTTCAGAAACTTCCTAAGATAAGATCACTTAATCGTGTATTGAAACAGTATTACAGTACAGTGTATTAAAATCTGGCGGTGCAGGCACCATGTACATACATCAAACAAGGTCAATAATTCCATTAACAAACTTATCCATTAATAACGCATGGAACATGTCATCCTTGTACCCATACCGGTGGCCGGAAGTTTTTTCCTATAAATGATGCTTGTTTCGAACTTGATCAATTACGTATTGCTTAAGGATGTGTATGTTTGCTGTAACTGGAGATACAGTCATTCAACATTGAAAGCCAAATGATCATTTCACTTTTTAGCTACTGTACCTTTCAGGAGTTGTTTCATATCTGGAGGCTGAAAAATACAACAATATTTGATATGTTATTCAAAACGTGAAACAGTCATGAACATATACATAAACCATCATAAACCACATTTGTACGTTTATCTCATTTACCACACACGATGATAACATGTTGCTAAAAACTTTAACAAGAACATAAAGTTACTCTGAAGGCCTTGGTCGAATAAACTACCCTACCTAATTCTTCCAAAACATAGTGAGTGCGTGAGTGAGTGAGTATGGTTTAACGCCGCTTTTAGCAATATTCCAGAAATATCACGGCGGGGGACACCAGAAACGGGCTTCACACATTGTACCCATGTCGGGAATCGAACCCGGGTCTTCGGCGTGACTAGCTAACGCTTTAACCACTTGGCTACCCGACCGCCCCTCCAAAACGTAGATGGAACATGAGAAGGAGACCCATCCCCACCTTTTCCTGGATGTACCAAAGGCTTCCCACAAGAAACATGAATCATTTTCACTTCACTAAATCATGTTGTACCTGACACCACCAACATGTTCAAGCGCCATAATTCTCTTCTACAGAGTTGCGTCCCTTGGCCACGTCATGATTGTGCCAAGAGATACAAATTCCAATTATAAATGCTCAAGATCATATGTTCACACTCTTCATAGTCAGTCTAAAGTATATACAACTACATTGTATATAGTCCTTTCACGAGTCAATGATCTTTAATGTGACCTTGACACTTGACATATTTTATTTTGTTTGCAGTTTAAAGCCACACTCGGCAACAATCCAGCTATATGACGGCGGGCTGTAAATACTCAGACAATCCAGTGATTGACATCACGAGCATCGACTCATGCAATTTGGATACGATGACATGCAACACATATGGCACATGTAATCAAATAAGCCACAACCATGACAGGTATTGAGTTGATCATTGATATTCTATCATAAGGGATTGGGAAAAGCTTAGATTCCTTATGAATTAATACGAATTTTCGTGAAATGTGAACAATGTTTCATAATTTGACCTCTTGTAGCGTTCATCCCAAACACTCCCGCCTTACAAATCATGTGTACTAAGGTTCATCAAATTTCATTCATTAATATCCAAGTTATTGTGTACACAATACCTAGTTCATACCGAGCGAACTTGACCTTTAATGTCATCCACTCAATTTGTCAGAAAATATCCCCCTGGGTATATTGGAGGTGTAGGAGGTATATCAGTTGTAGTCTCTACTACCTGCTGTACTCACGTGGTTGAGAAAACCATTTGCAGCGGCGGCAGCGGAGCTCAAAACAGAGCAAACACGATAAGCAGACTCCTTACAAAGGGGCTGCTTATTTAAGGTAGCTAAGAACTGAAATACGTATCTATTTACCATCAATGTCCCTCGTCTGATAATCGAGCTGACTGAAGTACTCTTCCCCATCTGCTTGACAATTTCCTATTAAAGACAAAAAACATCAGATGTAGTGTTTTCTACATGTTTTTCACATGTCAATTTTCTTGTGAACTCTTCACAATATGAAAATAATCGAAAATGACTTTGTCTCGAAACGTAATCTGGGGACGAGTGTAGTTCTTTACATTTAAAACGTGCGGATTAGACACGGTCCCATTCGCAGATCAAGCACATTTGATTAAACCATTCAAACCCTAAGTTGTCAATGTAAACAATATCGAATGAAATACGGAACACACTCGGGAAAGCGGAAATATCAACTTAAAAAACAAGTACATAAGTCATTCAAATACGAACGAAACATTACGTAATGGACATCCGTCTTATACGGAAACTACTCTACGTAACGCTAAGAGGTTCTCTTTACTGTTTGATTGGATTAAGGTTCTATTAAATAAGTACAAATCTTCTAGGGTTGGAAGGGAGGTGGCATTGATATGTAGTCGCATGTTTTCCTTAGGTTCAGCAGTCACATTAATTTCAAGATTTACAGTCACTGAAATGGTTAACCCAAACTCACTCTCTCGCCCACAACAATTATTTCGAGTGGCCATACTTATAGTCTATGTTACACATAACACTATTACCGGCGCCAGAAGTCCCCTGCTCTTCGATGTATACATTAGGGCTGCTTTGGAAATGAACCGACCTGAAATATATGAGTTTTAACATAGCAACAAGAAGACAACGTGATCCATAACCTGCTCCATTCATGTATGCCTTTAAATATATACAAACTATATATGACTGACCATAAATATGTAACACATTTTCCCCGATGGCGTTTCAGAAACTTCATAAGATAAGATCACTTAATCCTGTATTGAAACTGCCGTGTAAACTGGTTTCGGCAAAAATCTGACGGTACAGGCACCATGTACATACATCAAACAAGGTCAATAACTCCATTAACAAACTTATCCATTAATAACGTATGGAACATGCCATCCTTGTACCCATACCAGTGGCTGGAAGTTTTTTCCTATAAATGATGCTTATTTCGAACTTGATCAATTATGTATTGCTTAAGGATGTGTATGTTTGCAGTAACTGGAGATATAGTCATTCAACATTGAAAGCCAAATAATCATTTAACTTTTTAGCCACTGTACCTTTCAGTAGTTGCTTCATATCTGGAGGCTGAAAAATACAACAACATTCGATAGGTTATTCAAAACGGAAACAGTCATGAACATATTCATAAACCATCATAAACCACATATGTACGTTTATCTCATTTACCATGTTGCTAAACACTTTAACAAGAACATTAAGTAACTCTGAACGCTTTAACCACTTGGCTACCCGACCGCCCCTCCAAAACATAGATGGAACATGAGAAGGAGACCCATCCCCACCTTTTCCTGGATGCCCCAAAGGCTTCCTACAAGAAACATGAATCTTTTTCACTTCACTAAATCATGTTGTACCATCATGATTTCGATTCGAATTCCGGTTCACCCCGATTACGTTTCTAGGTTTGTCAGCATCAAACCCGTGCTCGTTGGTTTTACCAAAGTGGTAAACGTCTGAGACCTTCATCACTTTGCCCTTTCCTCCCAAACTAAGCTGACACGACGTGTCAGGTTCGGGTCCTATCGTAGGACTCGATCCATCTCATCCCAGGCATGTTCGATGGGTGAGAGGTCTGAGAAAGAGCCGTTCATGGCAGTACAGCAATGTTATGTTGTGGGCGGGCATTATCCTGCTGCGACGTGACGTGACGTTCCTGCATTTGCAGAAATGGTAGAACATGATCTCAAACGATGTCGTCTCGGTAGTGTACGCCATTCAAATTCTCCCATGAGTTGATGCCACCCAATACCATACAATTACACTTCCACCCCCCAACCTGACAGTATTCAGTAACGCAATCGTCGCTAAAACGTTCTCCTTGACGCCTGTATACCCTTGTATGACCTCTGGAGCTGTGCTGATTAAACCTGGGCTTATCTGTGAACGGTAACGTCGGGACCGGATATTGTGTTTATCAACCGGAAGCGTGTGGTTCTACGACTAATTGGTCACAACCCAGGATTTGTCCGAGCTGTTAATGTGGCAGTTTGGTATCGATTCCATTGATGCATCAACCGAATAATGTTGTCTTGTTGACGTGACGTCTCGCGTGGACGACCGGCCCGTGGCAGTACATGAGTGTTGTCCTTCTGCAGATAACGTCTCCAAAGAAAAGATATTGTGTTTCGTGGAACATTAAAATGTCTGGCAACTTCCTTTTGCGACATTCCTGTTTGCAGCATGCCCACGATTTATGGTTAAACTAAAGTGTTCTCATGAGCAAAATGGTTGTGACAATTAGATAAATGGATAACTAAAAATCATTAAACAACAAACAAACAAATATAAATGGACCAGTGAAAATCAGTGATGACACCAGGTGTTCGCGAAAAGGGCAAGCAGGTCCTGTCCTACATTGAATTGGGCTGTGAGCATTAAAGATTACATACTTGGCTTATGAACACCTCGTCTGGCTAGACGCTCAATCGTAACAACAAGAGCTGAGGCTAGAACGACAGCGACAAATGATACGACGATTGTAGCATTCATGAACATACGACTGGGGAAAGCTGAAAGACAAAAGAAATACTGTGAATCACCAGAGAGCGAAATAGTACTGAGCCACAACGTATCATTATTTGCGGATTATCAAACATACATTATATTATACATATATACATCTGATGATATGCGCCGTGCTATTTGTTTGTGTACTTTACCTTTGACAGCGATGTAGACGGAAGTCGAGCTGGAACCATATCTAGCCACTCCTCGATAGTCCACCATCGCGTTGATGACTGTGAGCACGTAGGTGCCGGTAGCGTCGAGGTCAACGTTGTCGAGAGACAGAAGGACCATGCCACCATCAACATCTGCCTGAAAACTCTCTGTGGCCTTCGTCCAGGTCAGGTTCAAGGGCTGAGGGTTACTGTCCGCCGAACAGTTGATGAACACCCTGTCCCCCTCTGTCACTGTGTGTTCTCCTTGACAGGAGACATCTGGAGGGTCTGGAATACATGGTGAGCTTATACTACATTCCTTCGTAACTATACAGACATTTATATAATCATATATATGAATGAATGTTATCGTTGACATTAGTTATGCATACGGGTGTTTCCAACGATTGCGTGAGCAGATTTTCGCTACATTCAGCCATATCGCGATGGGTGACACAAACTATGTACACGTACTTTGCATATTGTACTCATAACACATTAACTTCTTGTTTGACAATAACACAATGTATTGATAAAACCACATGAAGCGTCATACAATCTCCCTTCTTGAATAATGTCATATCAAAAATCAAACCGAGGAGGCAGGTCTATGCTTGAACATTTGCATTTGTGATGACATTAGGAGGAGCTGCAATACCAATGACTGTTTCTGACCTTGACCATGACAATTTCCTCAACCAAACAAAAGGGGAAACTCACAAAGAATGTTGACTAAGATGGATGATGCTCGTGCTATCGGACGGAGTCCGTTGTCTGCGACACACTTGAGTTCTCCTTGATCTCCTCGTTGGGCACTTAGTGTAAATGTGTCCCCATTTCCAACTTCCATCTCTTTAAAATACCAGGTGAAGTTTTCAACCCGAGGATGGGCGTTGTCTACGACACACTTGATATCTAGCTGATCGCCCAGGTGGACATCCAAGATTTCCTTTGATGGCTCCAGGTGTGTTTCAGCAGCAACTGCCAAACAAGTTTCCAAACAATAATTATTAGTTAAAAATTATTTTAAGAGACACTTGGTTATTTAGCATTGATGTCCACCCAACCGGATATAATTTAGTTGTGTATCATTGTTATCATTAAATATATGTAATACAAAAGATATCAGAACTATATGCGGTGGTTATTGGATTAGGAATATTTATATATTACATACAAAATACCGGACAAATAGGTCTGAAGAAATGAATTTTGCCAATAACCTATGCATACGTATTAGATGGTTTAGCTATCATTGTTATCATTAAATATATGTCATACAAAAGATATCAGAACTATATGCGGTGGTTATTGGGTTCTGGTAAATGGCAATTTATTAAACATGAGAAAAGATTAACATGACACATTCTTACATGAACAGCGGACACTGGCTCCAGTTTTGCAGTTTCCGTTCCGACCCCATCCATCATGTTTACACTGACCAAGACTGTTTTCATTGCCAAGGCAAGACTGCACTCTCAACACAATGTCTACATCTCTCTGAGGTGTCCCCACACGTGCATGCTCACTGGAGAATCAATGTGTGTATATATGTATTAACCTGAAACAAACTTGGATAAAAATTATTTTTCGGATGAATACCATTATATACTCCCCGAATACCAGTTAAAGTTCAGGTAACTCCGTATTTGTGGAGATTTTCATTCCACGCAGGTACGTATATAACTTAGGTACGTACATATTTCCTGTAATGCCACCATGGTTATAATGCCACTTTTCACAGAATGGGTTTCTACTGTACAACATTACCTGGTTAAAATGCCACCCTGGTAATAAAGCCATTTTCTATTCATCTTGTTACATAAAAATGGCAGTTGCAGTTAATCTTTTGGAGATAATTCCTTTTTCTAATTCAACAACCTAATTTCACTCATCTCTGAGCATATCTAAGTTGTTTTACAGCGAATCTTCAAACAGATAATCATTATTTTTCTTAAAATAACAAACAAACTAGTTTGATGTTAATGACATAATTCTTTTCTGTAATAACGTCTTCAATCGCCGTTGGTTCATTTTCAAACAAATATTACGTTGGAAATGGATGTTTAATCATCCTTGGTTTTAATGCTAACCTTGGTGTATTGCAATATATTCCGCTGGACAAAATGTGGCATTGTAAACAGGGAGGACTGTATGTATAAAGTTGGAACTAACGGGGATAAAAAATACATTGATACTTCGTGATTGAAGCAACCGGCGATATCACCAACTGTGTATACACCAGGGAATGCCTGCAGCATAAGGACTTCCTAACCTTCATACTCAGGAAAACATTCTCAAATTGAAGGTAAACGGGCTTCTTCCCATACAATTAAATGTATCGAGGGCCGCAATGTTTAAATGAGATCTATGATAAACTCTCGTTCAGAGGGCCTTTTTGCCCGGTTGTTCACAGTTTTGATACTAAGAGACATTTCAGTTCTTAAAGGAAATTGTAAAGCAGATCGAACCATCGGGTCCTCTTTTTCTTTTGTGTAAAGCATAACAAGATAAGTGTGTACATTACTGTCAGCACTTACATAGGCTGTCCAGTCATTCTACAAGCCACTTTGGCAGCCATGTCGTCAAACGTATCGGCACACACACCACCCCATGTACTGTTGTAAGCAACTTCTAATATCTCTTCTGCAGGCGAGGATAGAATCATTCGAGCTGTTGAATATATTAAAAAATAAGTTTTATAAGAAACGAGATACAATAGTTTAAACTTTGGTGTGGTTTTGTATTCATCAAGTTATCGGTTTGAATTGAAATGAATCAAATTACCCACACTAACCAGACATTTAATCATGTTTTCAGTTCCTTTCAGCAGATTAAAACGACCATGCAAAACATACAGCAGCACCAATTCATGTCCAACCATCAATGTAATCAAGAAAGCAGCTCTTTGTCTTTGCCCAAGCTGCAGTCCTGGCAAATGTGTGTCATGTCAACATAGGATCCCTTAAGCAATACAGTAAACTACGGTTATAACGAACAGGTTTATAGTGAACTGACCGATATAACGAACTTATTTTTTAGTCCCGGCCATTTGCTGTATATATGCTGTATATATGCTTATAACGAACTACGGTTACAACGAACCAAATTATTGGTCCCTTTGAGTTCGTTATAACCGTAGTTTACTGTAATTGTAAAGAGAACCTTCAAGCATCCCCAATTTTCCAGTGATCACGGATCGAAGAATATCGACATTTTATAATTGAAAAACCCTTTCAGCATACATCCCACCTGCACCAATGTTACCTTCAGTACAAACGAGTCCTGTGAATGTTGCACATGACTCCTCTCCCCAGCCAGAGTGAGCACAAAACTCCAGTGACTCTTCATTTCCTGTACATGTTATGTTCTGTAGCCATATAAACATGTCGGATCCACGTTTCGGATCCATGGCAGTATTGTAGGCACCGGTCCTACAATGTAGATAATGCTGCCAATTAGAGTTCAAAGGAGTTAAACACTGAAACCGCGTTGTTTTGTTCCCTCCAGTGTGGAATTCACACATTTTGGATAATTACTTTTGGATATTGTCTTTATTATTGAAAAAGACCATTCTGTGTACCAAGCAATGTGGTTATCCGGAAGAATTTAATCGGAAAGGTACCATCCGAATTTATGTGATTAATTAGATATTCTTCAAAATCATTCTTTTATTTTAAGGGGTATTGACTTGTACGTTAAATTTTCTGGACATGACATTGTCATGATTCTTACCCATACATATGTAGAGTGTAGATAATGCTGCCAATTAGAATTAAAAAAGTTAAACACCGAAACCATCAGGACATTATTACCACTGTAATCCAAGTTTCTTGCATGCTACCCGAGCCTCGACGACCGAAAACGAATCACCACACACATAGCCCCATTTGTTGCTATGTAAAACGGACAGGTGCTTGACTCCAGGGGTGATTGTTGTAACTAAACGGAGGCTGAAATCTGGAACAAATGGGATTATTAATAATACTTCAATGACAGGTCTTGCATAGAATAATGTATCATTTTAGACATTTTGTTCCCTGGTGAAGTAGGCCTTTTTGTAATGAGAAAGCAAATCATGCAGAGACATATCACATTATCAACAATTAATATCGAAAGTTTATACAAATTTTATAATTATTTTGAACAGACGTTGCGTTGTCACCACTAATGTTATAAATCTGCACCGATAATTATATAATCTAATCTTCAATTCAAAATACGAAGCAGCATAACCAAGTCATGAAGTAGTATGATGTCACCATGACTTTACAATGTCATTCATATTTGTGGAATGTTTGAGTAAAACTCCAGTTGACGTTTTCCTCAACACATATATTCTGTACTATGTATTCTATTATTCGTTATCTGACATCACAAACCTCAGGAAGGAGTCTCGAGTTCACCGTCTATCAACTCTAAAGAGCACGATAAATAGCAATAGTCACATCAAAGACAACGACAATATTTTCAATACCTTCAAGACATGTGACAAGTATAGAGGCATAGCAATGCCATGTCTTCGTGCAAGCATTGATTTCACCCTCAGTACCATCACATCGCACATATGCCCGTCTTACATGAAGCAAGTATACCAAGGACCCTTCTCTGTAATATACAGGTGAGGTGAATTAAGGTTTAACGTCGCCTTCAAGATTGTTGCACTTATATAGCGACGTGCATCACTCAATACATTCAAAACAATCCAAAAAGGATGAATAATATGTTAATTATAACATAATCTGATGCTATACACAATTGAGGTTAAGACCCATGAGGGAGAGATGAGAAATGTTCTGAAATGTCCAAAACGACACACAATACAATTTGACAGAACACTGTAAACACCGTTCAGATAGTAGGTTGAGTAGGGGAAAATCTGCAGAACAGAACGGGTCATAATACCTTACCAGGAATATGAAAGTAACCTCATATTGGCAACAATGGGATATTTAATTCAAAGAATCTAGAATAGAAACAAGGGCACACAGGAATATTGATACTATATTTGATATGTTAGATATGAATCATTTGAAGGAATTACTAGAGATCTAACATGAGGTTTTCTTTATAGATCAAGATCGTCCATCTCAAAAGGATATATGCACCTGAGAAAAACATATATTTATCCTAAAATGCTGAATTTATCAAAAACAGATAATAGGGTCTTTGACTTTTTATCTAATCTTAACACAATCGCCAACATTTGAGAAAGTTTTTAAAAAAATCATTTGAGCAGTTAATGAAACGTTTTCGTTGGTCTTAAGTTTATGTATACAAATGACCGAATATCCAGTTAAAACGACAAAAAAGTGTTTAACCATCTTACGCCTGAAAACCCAGCATCCTGCACGCAACCGAGCCAATCCTATCAGCAGAGGTGTAGCCGGTATAACACACATACTCCCACTGTTTGTCATGATATGCTTGAAGTATACCAGTTGATGGGCGGGTACCAAGTAGCCTCAGAGGGGTGGTGACTGGAAGGACATATTATGAGATAAGTAATTTTGATATCTGTGAATTTGATTATATTATATGGTATATTTTTAAGTTCGTAAAACAAGAAAACTTGACAGGGTATGTTCATGCATTTGTTCTTGAGCCATGTGACAATGACGGACTTAAAAAAAATATATATATTGTAAACTGTGTAAATAACAAGATGAGTTTTGAAAGGAAAGCACACTATTTCTGTCGATGCATCTCCGGTGCTCTAGTAGCGTGTATCGGGGTTACTTTTGTCTATGGCAACAATGAAGGCTCAGTGTACAGTTGCAAAGTGCTACCGCCGCACCTTTTCCAATGACAAAAACTGCCTGCACCTGTCTGCTTACAAAATGTTACACAGGGCTGTATTTGAAACGTTTACACTGGGCACGAGCCACCAAAACGTCTTCAGTTTACTTATTTCACACACTGCTAAACCGCTGTTTTGAAGCATGGAGTCATGGAAACAATAAATCAATGTCAGCCCTGACACAAGCAATTGCACCTGACATACTCTGAAACGGACGGTCATTCATTATTGATGAGTAAGATCAGTGAGATCAGTTATAACAAGTCACTAAGACTACAGCGTCGAATTGTAAAGCACTGCATGTTTACTCACAAGAGCAAACGACGCCAACATCTTTATAGTGATAACAATTGTGCGTCCCCCATGGCCGGTGCTTGCAATCATCTATGTCCCATTCCTGCCCAGCACAGACCACGTCATCCAAGTGAATAGGACCCGTTCCATCTACAACGTTCGCCAGTAGCGTTGCTCCTGACCTACAAACATGCACTTGTTGTTTTACAAATGATTAAAATTGAAAAGACATTCTTGAAGATTAATCACACACAACTGATGAAGATATAGGTTTAATGAATAGCAACTGTAATTTCACGTTTGTGTGGATTGAACATCGCTACACATTTTGTATTCTCCAGCACAACTGATGTTCTCACAAGCTGTGCGTATGTTCGTTTTTAATATTCTGGCTGCAAAAATAAATTTTGTTATGAACAGAAATATCGCGCCCGGAGCGACTGTTTACCGAGGCATTTCTAACAAGGGGGTCAAGGAAGGTTGGTAAAAAGTATGTTTCAACCATGTTTGAGTTATTGATGAGTACAAAATAAATATCTTAGTACAATGTCAATCTGTAGAATCTGATCAGAGGCTTATTTTTTTTAAAAAGAAAAGTACAAATATTGAATTTTAAACGGTAGAGTTTCTGGTTGGGTAGAAACCCATTGTCTGCTTGTTTATGCATTTAATACTGAATTGGAAACGGGACAATATAGTTCTGGTTGATACTGTCGCTCGGTGACTTGGTTGAAGCGTGTCATGGTATCAAATTGCGGGGATCGATGTTCATGATATCAATCACTGGATTGTCTGGTCCAGACTCGATTATTTACAGACCGCCGTCATATAGCTGGAATATTGCTGAGTGCGAACCAAAACCAAAAAGCAAGCAGGTTTACCTAATATCCACACATGTTTTTACATTTTTTTGTTTCTATTTGAAGAATTTGGTTGACTTCTTGTAAACGGTACTGTTAACTTCTGTAAGATGATAATGTAATAAATTCAGATGAAGTATCTGTGTCTGTATTAAACGCCTTTTGTTCAAAATAATGTTAAGATCCTTCAGAACGTTAATATGCTTCAGAAAGTGTATCGATGGAAGACACACAGACGTCGCTATTTAAGTGCAATAACTCTTAAAAAGGACGTTAAACCATTTCATATTACTTCAATAAAAAACTATTTTAGCATACCATAAGAATAATGTAACTCACTTTGCATATCCTAACGTGTGACAGGCTACCTTGGCACTGTTATAGCTGAAGTAGTCATTACATACGGTCCCCCATGATCCGTTATGATAAACCTCCAGTCTTCCCCATGCTGCGGTGGTATTTGTACTGCCAATCAGACGCAGCAGAGTACCTGCATCTGATAAGATTAAAACAGGTTATGTGCACAGTCGCACACAAAGACATGCAGTTGATAAATTAACCCACGAACGAATGATAGTAAAAAAGAAGTTGATTAAATTAGGAAAGAAGTAAACTTGAGTGATTACTTCATGAAATACCTTTTCAATTCATATTGGGCCTGTTTTACAGAAAAGGGCAACACAACAAATCATAATACAATTTACGTTGGACTAAACAAATGCACTCATATATTATTATTATTATTCAACAATAAACATATGGACGTTATTTTCTATACAATATATACAAATATTAGACAACGTTGTATTTCTGCTGGTTAGAATCATCAATAATTTAACAAAGATCCCAATGAATAAAATGTTAAACATATTAAAACTTCTTATCCCATGACCAGCAGCCTAAGAGAAAAAAACAGAGACAAGGTTGGTCACAGTTGTCATCCCTGCTTAACACCCTGAAAAGCATAAAACGAACCAGTTGTTACATCATTTAGTCTCATAAACGTAACGTCTTGGTATAAGCTTTCAGCAAATTGTGCCATTTTACCTGAGACATCAATTGGTGCAACAGTTTCGATCGACTGTGTCAAAGGCAATTTTTTATATCAACAAAACAAAAACAATTATGAGCTTCCTGGTAATTACAACATTACAGACGTATAAATGACCGATACAATTTCTGTGGGATCTCATTGTCATTATTCTCCAAAGTCAGTATGCTCTAACTATGTTCTTATTCCCGTCCATATACCTTCTCAGGTAATGAATAAAGAGATATGTTTTTATATGATAACAACTTACAATAGTCTTGTATGTCCCTCATTCCTCTGAGAGGGTGATACAAAAACTGCAAAGCAATAGCTTGCTATGCGTTGCATTGACTTTATGCAATGGGATTCTGACTGGTAATCCATCAAGACCTACAGTCTTTTTTTTGTTGGTTTTATGCATTACATCATCATTTACTTTCTGTGGGGACACGGGCCTTACACAGCCTGTACGTGACATATACGGTGACCCTGATCAAAGTACTGCTGCCAATGTAGTTATCAATCTTGTGTACGAGTAGTCAATGGTCAAAACGTAGGAGCGTCACTATCCGCCGACCAATCACCTGTAATGACTTCTCTTTTGACTGCTATTGTGCTTGTTACGCCCACTGAAATCTGTTTCGGTAGATAGTCGAGACTGGTCTATGGCGTTGAAGTTTTGTATTAACTTCAACTGGGTCGATGTTTCTGCTGGCTGACTGAAGTCCACGAGTTTCATCATAAGCTTAGAGCCATTTATCAATTATGCTGAGACAAGATATAAAAGATATGGTTTTGCCAAGACCTAAGCCACCCCACCACCAACAACAACTGTGTTGCAAAACGAACATATTTCTTGAACGTATCTTTACTTATAAGATGAAAAATCTCTGCACTTGTACACCTCAGACGCAATTCAAAATTAACATATCATTTTAGTTTCAGCAAAATCAACACGCTATCGTGTCACTGGATTTTCTGGTTAATCTACCACTTGATTGTCTGGTTTGTTTACAGGCCGTGGCGGATGCTACCAGTATGGCAGGACATGCTTACCCGTCAAGCGAAAACCTGGTTTCACGGCGATCCATTCATTTAATTGTCCCTGCTATTTTGTTTGTTACGGTTAATGGAATCTGTTTCGGTTGACACTCGAGACTGATTATTCTCTGGCGTTGACTTTTTGTATGTCTTTAGGATTGACATTGATGAATTTACTCTTGTTTGAAGAATCAAATTTACATTCTCTCGTTGATTAAATTTCACAGATTTAGAAGTTTAAACTGTTTTAAGTGATGACTTCGCTCTAACTTCCTGTTTATGTTTACCAAGCTTCCTTTTCACCCACATAAGTGCACTTCTCAGGAAACATATTTACGAATACACCCTTTGTTAGAATATGTCTTATCTTTTCGACAAACGCAACTCCACAGCTTTTGCAGTTCGTCCACCCAATAGGGTTTCTGTCAGAGGCGGGTAAACGCCACCTCACGATTATTGCACTTATATAGGGCTCGTCACTGTATGGCTGAGATACTGCCGATGTGACGTAAAACTTTAACTCACTCACTCACTCACTCACTCACT